AAATACCTAGTGCCTAGCACATAGTAGGTATTCAAAATATTTTCAAAAGAATGAATGTGCACTTAATTTTAAGAGCTCAGGAATCACTATGTGCATTATAAGCCCTTGTTATCTATTCAGAGAAGCTTTACCAAGACCTCGGTTGGGAAGTAATCCCTTTATTACCTTAGCTTGAAATGCTCTCTCTACTTGAAAGCACTAACTGATTTCTTCAAAACCTTTCTGTAATTCAGGTGTCTCGCTCACTTAGATCTACATTACTATGGCTGATGCAAGATTCAAAACTGTAACCATGCTGATATAAAAACTTTCAAACTAGATAGATTATAATTATTCAAACATAGTGTGTGGTTTACATAGTAGACATATTTATCAATTTATATAATTTTTAAAAGACATATTTAATCCTTGAATTTTTTTTCTGATTCAGGCTTTGAATGATACTATATATCTATATAAATATATAGATATCTACGTTTATGTGTATATCATACTATATATATATATATATATATATATATATGTATGTATATATAGGCTTAATCAAAAGTGCATTTGTCAGGCTTCCCTGGTGGCACAGTGGTTGAGAGTCCGCCTGCCGATGCAGGGGACACGGGTTCTTGCCCCGGTCTGGGAAGATCCCACATGCCGCCAAGCGGCTGGGCCTGTGAGCCATGGCCGCTGAGCCTGCGCGTCCAGAGCCTGTGCTCCACCTTTTGCGGTAGTTCTGTTATGTTCTCTAGCAACATATTCCCCAAACATTCTTGACTATTTACATATTCATAAGCATGTAAGTCATCTTTAACAGTTTCGTATTGTAAACAATGTCACCAGAAACATACATCACGCCTTTATTTATAAGCTGAAGAATTCATATAAATTAGATTCCTAGAACTGGTTTCTCAGTTAAAAAAAAAAAAAAAAAGTGCATTTGTCAATAGCCCATATGCTAGGCTAGAGAAAGCTTTCCTATTTATCGTAAGTGTCTTATTCACTGACAAACCCATGTTGATCCACCAAAAAAAAACCAAATAAACAAAACAAAAACCGAAACACAAGAAAAAAAACTAAGTAAAAATTTTATAGATTTAAAATCTTGCCATAAATATCCCATCAAAAATTTTTGCCTTCTCTTATATTTTCAAATGCATCAATGAATTCATCTGTCCCCAAGATCAGATTTGAGTCTGCATGTTTTATGTTGGAACGGCCCATGACTGAACAACCACAATAAATCTATCATTTAAAGTGCTTCCCCAATTTGGCTTAAGCCTGCAGACCAAGAGGGATGGACATGGCGTTTCTGTTGCCAAGTGATGGCTGAGACCCACTCTGATTTCACAGGAACTTGGAGAAGATTCAACTCTGCAACTTGTTCCATAATTGCTTCTAGCAGCTTTTCCCCTAAGTATCAAGGCCCTGGCATATCAGTGCTTTTGCTGTCCAAAGAGATAAAAGCAAAATCCAAACCACTAGACCTGGTGCCATGTACTGAATATTAGGGTTTCCCCCAAAATTTATATGTTAAATCCTAAGCTCCAATGTGATGGTATTTGAAGGCAGGGCCTTTAGGAGGTGATTAGACCATGAGGGTAGAACCTTCATGAATGGGATTACTGCCCTTATAGACGAGACCTCAGAGAGCTCTCTGGCTCTCTTTCTGCTTTGCTGAGGATATAAGGAGAAGGCAGCTGTCCTTACCAGAATTCAACCATGCTGGCACCCTGATTCTGGCTTCCATACTTCAGAAGTGTGAGAAGTAAATTTCCATTGTTCAAGCCAGCCAGTTTATGGTATTATGTTATAAAAGCTCGAACTAAGATACCTAGGAAAGACTGCAGCACTATACAGCCTTCTACATGTTTCCTCTTTTAACCTTATTTATATACCTGAAAGTTTCCTTATTCACTGGGGAGATGTTAGAAATACTTAATACAAAGTACAGGGTAAGTAGGCTTGAAAGGGTCAGAGAAATAACTTTTATGAACATGAGACATGGTTGGAGTAACCACCACTTTCCCCCCTTTCTTCTTAAAACATAATCCCAATTTCTCATTGGGCACACTCCCACCCAGGAAAGAAATCTGTATTTCCCAGCCTCTTCTGCAGCTAAGTTTGGCCAGGGAACTAATTTCTGACCAGTAAGGAAAATTACTGGATGGGGCTTCTGGGAAGTTTCTTAAAAGGGAGTAAATGTATCTTGATTTCTACCTTCCTCCTTCCTGTCATTGGGGGATGACATTGGGAAGGATGTCTTGGGAGGCTGAAGCCCCAGCAGCCATCCTGGTTCCTGATGTGAGGATGGTAGAGCAGCAAGATAAAAGGGGCGTGCATCTCTGATGACTGTGGATTCCAGGTAGTCTTAACTGCCTACTTTCTAAGAGACCAGCCAGCCAATGAACTGCCCAACCAACCAACCAACCAATTCTATCTCTTTCAGCCACTGTTACTTCCAACATTTTATCTGTAACATAACCTCATTTTCCTGATCAGCGGATCTACAAATATCAGACATCATGGTAAATGCTTACTTTATAGCAACTGTATAAGGTGGCAATTATTCTTTCTATTTTATAGATGAGGAAATTAATGTTCAGAGGCGTTACATAACTGACCTAATGATACCAAGGTAGCAAAGTGGCCAAGTCAAAACACCAGGTGAGATTCTAGAATTTAAACTTTTTTCCTGCATTATCCCATCACTCTCTAAGGTGGGAGTAAATCTCTCCTGTGTGCCTTCAGCTAAACCTCTTAATCTTTTATCCCCTTTTAAAATTAAGATTAAAAACCTCTGCCTACTATAGGCACTACTGTGAGGACAAGTGGGTTTATAATTTTGCAAAGCATTTAAGTCCTTGGAACATAATCACTATTTAACTTATGCATACAATTAAAACTCTAAAATGTTTTTGACAACAGTAAGTCACCAGTTATACACAAACACTTAACTTTCATCATAGCCAAAATTAACTAGTTTGTGCCTGTAATTGTTTAAACTGGCTTCAACAATTAAACTCCAAATCACTAATTAATTTCCTGTTCCAGAAATCTATTCTGTGCCGCCTAGCACTTCGTTGAATTGTGTTTTGTAACCACTCAGCTGACAACTTGGCCTTGTCCTCCTGCTGTGGCAGCCTTTTAACGGAGGTGTCTCCCATAAAATATCTAAGGGAGAGCAGATTGTGTTGTCATAACCAGCTCACAAAAAAAACTTTGGGACTGTAATCTAAAAGCAGCGCAACCTGGTTGTCTGTCTGCAATAAGACTTTGCAATTTTGGAAAAGTAAATCTACATTTCTTAGTCTAAGAAATTGTTTGTTTGTTTTCCCCCATCTCCAAAAAGAATAATTTGGACCCCATGACTTCAAAGGATGAGACCACCTCTCAGATTCGGGGCTCCCTATACACAATGTGGCATTGAAAAAGCTTGATGCTTACGCCCTAGCTACAGGACTCATCCCGGCTATGTGACTTTAGGCAAATTACATAATTTCTCTAAGCTTTAGTTTTCTCATTGGTAAAAATGGAGATGATAATAAGATCTAACAGCACAGAGTTGCGGAGATATTGAAAGGGGATCATACATGTAGAGTTCTGTATTAGTTTTCTTATTCTCCAATTACAAGTTACTATAAACTTGTTTAGTGGCCTAAAACAACACAAATGTATTATCTTACAGTTTGGGAGGTCAGAAGTCCAGTATGGGTCTCAATGGGCTAAAATCAAGGTGCTGTCACGGTTGTGTTACTTTGGAAGGTCCTAGAATCATTTTCTGCTCCTTCAGGTTGCTGGAAGAATTCAGTTCATTGAGGTTACGGGACTGAGACCCCTACTTCCTTGCTGTCAGCTGAGCCCTGTCCCATTTTATAGAGGAGTCTGAAATCCCTTTGTTCACTGGCCCCCTTCTACCATCTTCAGAGCCAGCAGAGTCCCAGTCAGGGTCCCCCGCATGCTGGAAATCTCTCCTGCTCTCATTACCGTACATTTCTTTCAAACACTTCCTCTGTCTTCTTCCCCTTTCAAGTGCCCAGGTGAATACTTCAGGCAACCCAGATAATCCAATATAATCTCCTCATTTTAAGGGCAAATGGTTAGCAACCTTAATTCCATCTTTAACCGTCATTATCTTTTGCCATGTAATGTAATAATGTAAATCATATGTCTTCAGGATAAGGACATGGACATGTTTGGAGCCATTATTCTGCTTACCAGAAGCTTTCAGCATAATGCTCCAACAGGTAGTAAGTACTCAATAAATGATCTTGATAGTCAATACTTATGTTTACTCTATGCCAGGTACTGACCTAAGTGCTATATGGATATTTATGTCTTTTATCCACATAGCAACCCTCATAATGTGAAGTATGCGCTAATATCATCATAACCATTAACAAATGAGGACATGAAACACACAAAGAGTAAGTCACTTCATGTAGCTGGTAAAAGAAAACAGATTTGAACCCTGGCAGTCTGGGTCCAGAAGCTGTGCTTTTAAGTAGGCCCCATTCTGCCACTTCATTTTAAATATTATTACAGTAAACAGGAAATCAAGAAAGCTTCTGCTTAAACTAATACCTGTAAAGCTAAATGATTTCAATATAGGGCAACGGCGAGATTGGTGTTCATCTGGCATATGCTGCCGTCATATATTCTCTTTGCCCTGTGACGCTGGGCCACCAGGAGCTGAGAGAGGGCCTGGGTTCAGGGCTGGCATTCCTTTGTCATCCCAGTTTGAGTCTTAACAAGCAAATGGGGAAGAGACTCCTTTCTAAAATATTCTATATTGGAAGAGGTGAGATAAATCTCTGTTTTTAGATTTCAAAACCTGGTGAGTATCATCTTGAGAGTATTACAAACAAAAATACTGCTATTGTGGTTCTTGAACGCCTCACATTTTATTGAAATGCTACTGCATTTCACTTCATACTGAACACCTACTTTGGCATCACGATGGAAAGTGAGAAGCAAATAAATCACCACCTTTCTGGACAACAGAATACCTTTCAGTCTCCTGTACAGGCACATCTCCTTTCTTCCAGGAAGAGAGCGCCCTGGGGGAAGCTCTGGGTTTACAGTCCAAGCTGACCTCGCTGCCCACCTGCACCTGAATCAACTTTTTCATCGGAGTCTTTGAAAAGTCTGGAGCAGAAGCTAAAAAGGACGAAAGAAGAAAGAATGACAATTCGATGTCTGATGATTTTTCTTTAAATTCCCGTAAATTTCAAAGGTTGACTTTATGATTTTTTAAAGTTTCTTGACACATAAGATATCGGTACTTGATTTATTTGATTGACTGGGTACCACCTACAGGACGATTTCAATGCTTAAAAAGTTAGTCCTACCATTGTGTTTTCTGGCAAGTTCTAATTCCTGAATATGAGAAATTTTAAAGTTTACTATGAAGTTTTAAAATAGCTCAATCATGAGTTTATTAAAACTAAAAGCATTTAATAGAATGTTCTTGAAAGTTAGTTCCATGAGGACAACAGTAGGGTTGGTCTCTCTTGTGACTTCAAGGACACAGATGTGGCACAGGGCCTGGCACTCATTAGATGCTCAGTAATGTTTTTAGAATGAAGGCTGAGTACTGAATTCTTATTCTCTTGTATAAACAGTAACAAGATCTATTACAAAATTTTCATGTGGTTAGCTTTAACTTCTAAGTTGGAGAAATATATTATAACATGCATTATTATATTAAGTTACAATATTCCATTAAATACTATAATATGTAGAAAACATTATGCTGCCTAATAATGGATGGAACGCTGATCCTGAAACAATACCTGAACATTCAAGAGACATAAAAATGTATCATTTGAATTAAGTATGTTACTCAGAAAATCATCCTTCCTTTTACCGCAAATGCAGAAAAAAGTTAAGAACCGAGTGCATTTCCTCAAATATCTAATCCCCTGTCTTATGGCATCTCCCAGTTAATATAACTTATTTTTTATAAGTGGAAATCATAGAAGGAATTATACTATATATATATATGTATGTATGTATGTGTGTGTGTATATATATATATATATATATATATATATATATATATATGCATATAAAGAAA